CAGACTAAAGGTCTCTGTGAACGCTTTAATGGTACCCTAAAGCAATTGCTGCGGACCTTTACAGCGGAATACAGAGACTGGGAGCGATTCTTGCTGCACCTCTTGTTTGCATATCGAGAGGTGCCACAGGAATCCACAGGGTTCTCTCCCTTCGAGCTGCTCTATGGACGGCGAGTGCGAGGCCCCCTCGACCTCATCCGAGAGCACTGGGAGGGAGAGATAGAACATGAGGGGGTTCCTATCGTACCTTATGTGCTGGAGATGCAGGACCGCATGGGGCACCTAGCCAGGATTGCCCGAGAACATCTTCAGGCGGCCCAGGGCCGTCAGAAACATTGGTACGATCGGGGCGCCCGGTTGAGAACATTCCAAGAAGGTCAGAAAGTTCTGGTACTTAGACCTGTCAAGGGAAACAAACTACAGACCTCCTGGCAGGGCCCTTACAAGGTAGTAAATTGCCAGTAGCCAGGACGAAAGGATCCAGAAGTCCTTTCATGTCAATTTATTAAAAGAGTACTGTAACGGACCGTTTTGCACACAAGGGGTAAAAAACGTTTAGGCGATCGTCCCCCTTTCCAGAGATGCAGGCACAGCTATTGTAGAACACCAAACACACGAACCGCCAATAAGTGAATGCTCCAAACTCCCGAACGGCATCCAATATAGCACTCCAAACACACGAATAGCATACAAGGGAATGCTCCAAACACCCAAACTGCATACAAGGGAATGCTCCAAACACTCGAACTGCATACAAGGGAATGCTCCAAACACCCGAACTGCATACAAGGGAATACTCCAAACACCCGAACTGGAACCTCACGAATAGCTGCTAGCAGACGAACAGGAAAAGCACCCAAGCGGCTTACACTCCTGGCAATCAGTCTCTAACAGCATACAGTAAATCCCCCCAAAGACGAGACAAGGCTCCGTGTTGAGGGTCAAGCAGTGGTCTGTTTTAATGAGGGCTACCTGCCCAGTATTTATGCAGGTCTCCCACCTGGTGGACACTCCCCTAGGGGACCAAATGGGAGACTGTGACAAAAGACAGACAAGTAGACAAATAGGACACACAGTCACATTATATTCCCACAATGCATCCTGGCTTCCTCCCCTCTGCCTTGGAGATAATTGAGAAGTAATTCAATTATCTCCCAAGACAAAGGCAAATCGCCATTATGCACGTGGGGATACTAAAACACGAATTACTGTTAAAATACACCATGTAAGACACATTACAATAAACTTATACATTTAACATGTCCCCAGATAGCTCAGGTCTGAGCGCACATTATTAAGCGAATGGCGCTCAGACCACACGAATACAGTTTAATCGCCATGGAGCTAAAGTCTTTACACAGTCAGTTTCATGTGAATGGGCTCCATGGGATTCCTATCTGGGGTATAACATAGACAAGTAAAACTACCCAACACCGGCCATTCGTGTACTTTCACCGAACAAGAAGGGAGGTTGGCGGTTTCAGCGATGTTCGCACAAAACTGTGTCTGATTTTAGTTCCATGAATTAAGCGTCGAACACCGCTGTGCTTTCGCTTGTTTAAAATGGCCGCGACCCCGTGTTCAGGATCTGAATGGCGGCCACCCAGCATTCGTCAATTAAGCTGCGGTTAACTGCAGCTTCAGGGAGGTTAATTGCCGGCACACTCCAGCTCCCAGGTGATCTATTCATTCGTGCGGTTGTTCGGTAGATTGAATCTACTGAACACCCGGCAGAAAAGCACGAATAGAGCTTTTCTGCAGGCAAAACAAAGTCTTTTAATATGGGGGCCATAGTCCAAAGGCAGCAGGTGAGCAACCAGGCTTCTCCAATGCAATGTGGCGAGATTGGTCTCGTCACAAGTACCAAGAAAGGCCCGAAGATATAGCGGCCATATGTATCCCGGCCACAGTCTTCCCATCCCAGATCTGTTAGCTGACTCCGAGCCTAAAACTCTGCTCAATACAGTGCAGCTAGGGGAGCAGTTAACTCCCACAGAAAGGGAACAACTCCAACAATTGCTAGCTGAGAAAGGATTGACGTTTTCTCAGGAGCCCGGTTACACACCTTTAGCGACACATTAGGTGGAAACCCCAGGACAAACCCCTCTCAGACAGACTCCCTATAGAAACCCTGAAGCCGTAAAAGAGGAGATGAGAAAGGAGATTCAGGAGATGTTAAAACTGGGAGTTATAGAGCCGTCCGACAGCCCCTGGGCATCCCCAGTTGTCCTAGTTCCCAAAAAGGACGGAACGACCCAGACCGTGACAGACGCATATGCCATGCCCGTAGATGAACTATTAGATCGTATTGCCAGGGGACGCTATCTGACCACCATCGATCTGTGCAAAGGGTACTGGCAGATTCCCCTGGCCAAGGACGCTATCCCTAAGTCGGCGCTTGTCACCCCATTTGGCTTATACCAGTTTAAGGTCATGCCATTCGGGATGAAAAACGCCCCAGCTACATTCCAGCGCTTAGTGGATCGTCTCCTTGATGGCTATCAGGAATTCGCGTGCGCGTACCTGGATGACATTGCGATCTATAGTGAGACTTGGGGAGATCACTTAAGACATGTAGAGGCTGTGCTGGACCAGATTAGGGCCGCAGGCCTAACTCTGAAACCAGAGAAATTTAATTTCGGAATGGCCGAAGTACACTACTTGGGACACAGGGTACGGTGTGGGAAACAGCGACCAGAACCCGCTAAGGTGGAAGCTGTAGCCAACTGGCCCACACCCCACACCAAGACCCAAGTACTGGCATTCTTAGGGACAGCGGGATATTACAGGAAATTTGTCCCTGACTACAGCGCCATCGCTAAACCCCTGACAGATTTGACAAACAAAAATTTGCCTAGAGTAGTCCTGTGGTCTCCCACCTGCAAAACAGCGTTCCAAACCCTGAAACAAACCCTAATCAACGCACCGGTTTTGTCTGCCCCCGTCCCTAACAAAAGATTTGTTGTCCATACAGATGCGTCCATGTACGGACTGGGGGCAGTTCTGAGCCAGGTCGGGGAAGATGGAGGGGAACACCCTGTCGCGTACCTGAGTAGAAAACTATTGCCCAGGGAAGTGAGCTACGCGGCAGTGGAAAAAGAGTGTCTAGCCCTGGTCTGGGCTCAAAAGAAGCTCACACCATACCTGTATGGTCAGTGTGGCAAACCTAGCCACTTGGACTAAACAGGGACAATATGTCTTTAAGGGTTGCCGGTATATTTTGTGTATGTGACTGTTGGTAATCTGCTGTATCCTGCCTGCTGTATTGCTTGTATTGGCTATCTGCCGAAAGCAGATAGTCATCTTCTATTTCATTTCACGAACAGCACCTTTGCGAGCCGTTCGTGGACCGAATGAACCATCTTTCAATAGCCCACACACTAAGGGACGTGTGGCGCTTGTTAACCGATTGCAACAATGTTGCAATCGGTAATTAGAGGTTCTCCTAGATGGCCGCCGTTCGGCTACCGACCACCCGGCGGTCGGCCATCTTGGATCCTTTGTTCCCCAGCGGTGTTTGGTCATCAAGCGCATGGAACTGAAAACGGCTACTCGATGGTGCGAACACCGCTGGGCTTCCAGAGCGTTCGGGAGTCCCGGGACGTTCGGTAGTTTGGTTTATCTCTGTCAATAGGTATTTTTAACTTGTGTTATAAATAATGTGTTTTTCGTACAGCGTTCGGTTGTTTTAGCTGGGATCTGAGCAGTATTCACACGAACGGTGTGCTCAGACCCCAGCTATCTACCGAACATCCATTCGTTTCAATCTGTCAAGTATTCGAAAAGTTATGTATTTTAATGTGAATTGTCGGTGTTGGGGATAAAATCAGCCCGGGCCCTTTGTGGATGATGGATATTTGCCAACTCATACAGAGCTCTGGAAATTGGAAATGAATAGCAGAGACATGTTCAATAACCAATTCAAATTGTATTCATACGTCAGTTATAGTAATACCCCGTTTTCATAGCAGGATGGGAGGGGGAAAAATGAGCATATGGGCGTGACAATTACATTGTTTTTCACAAGTTATAAACAGCTGTTTCTTATTAGAATTCTACGTTATATAACACATGTATATTTGATCAAAACAGGATATTTACAAATACCTTAATCTTGGACAATTAACAAGAACATTTGGAAATCAGTATGGTCATTCTCGTAAATGATATTAGATAAATTCTTCCCAAAATCGAAGATACAATTCCAAATTTATTCTTGGTTCAAATAAACCCTTATATGAACAGCTAGGATATATGAACAGCTAGGATATTAAGCAAAATGGATATTCGTATCCTACAGTCGGTTCTGCTGCACGGAGGGATAATCCACTTAACGGTATATTCCAGTGGGAGTATCCCTCTCGTGCAGCAGTGCCTGATGGGGAAAGGCTCTGTACATTAGGTTTCCCATGTAGTCCACTCCTGTAATGCCCCTGGGATAGGACTCAGGAAAGCCCTTGCATGGGGAATTGTATAAATTGTGGAGCTGTGAATAAAGACCTCAGTTGACTCCCAGCCTTCAGTCGTCTAGTTCTTGGGAAGGAAGGATTACTACAACGCTACCTGGATTATTGTATGCTGTATTGATTCCCCTGGATTATCTTATGTTGTTCCTGTTACCCAGCGGAGATATTGTGGATTATACTGCCTCTCCGCTACAATTGGTGGCAAGCGACGGGATTGAATCTACACAGCAAAGCAACGTTCGGCAGAATTTAAACGAATAAAGGAGCAGCAATTCGGGAATTAACCCATTCGGATGAAACCCACGAACGGCCGGTGAATGGGAACGAATTATGCCCTGCTAAAACGAAGCACACTAAAGGAGCTGCTGGAAGCAAGAGGAGCAATAGCCAGTAACAAGGCAAAAAGTATACAAATGGAAAAGGGAACCGCGCCTTAAATTAACTATATATACATACACTTTTTATCTCTTGATTGATGTAAATAATTTATCCTCAAAAAAAGAGAACACAAAGAGAAAAATAATAATAGTGTAGTATATTTGACAATTTTAAAGTTGATATAAAAAGAGGAGATATTATAAACTCACATTTGGTAGAGCTAATATGGAGCTCTACCGTAATTCGCACGGACGGTACAATCTCCGTCTCAGGATTAGGAGTCCCAGGTCTTCAATACTCCAATAATATGGTGGTATAAATGGGATGAAAAAGAAGAGAGAGAAACTCCAATGGTGTGGTAACTTAGACTTCAAATGTAGAAGAAATAAGTGAAAGTAATTATACTCACATTTGCTAGAGCAGACAACTTGCTCTAGTATATAGGGCTTGCAGTGGTACAATCCCCACTGTAGGATATGTGGACCAGGAAGTGATGATGAAAATAAATATTGAATAAAAAGTATATCACTTTAAAAAAGTTTAATAGTAACAATAGTGACAATAATAAAACAAAAAGGCTATATAAGATAACACTTTACGCGTTGCGCCAATCAGGCTTCATCAGAAGTGTAAATAAATAGCCTCAGATCATTCCTTTAAATATATAACTTTCATAAATGAAGATAACTTCCTGGTGTGTTTCGGTCGTGGGGCGCGCGCGGCAACAAACCGGAAGCGATGCGGCGTCCACTAGAGTGTAAGTATCCACCGTGGAACGCACGCGTCGCACCGGAAGTGACGCGGCGCTTCCACGAATGTAATAAGTCCGTGCGTGCCAACGTGGAACGCACAGTAATCGCGTCTATTCGGTTCTTCACAAAAGTTCAGTCCAACTTGGAAGCACAAACAGTCCCCTTATCTTGGTGTAGTATGAGGTCCAAAAGGTCCTTTGTTCCCATCTCCAAAGCCATCAGGCACCAAGCGCTGAATAAAGCCACTCAGTTCATGATTTTCAGTGTGTATGTTCAGTCATATTGGAGAAGGGCAGAAGTATGGGCAAAATAGTTATAAAGAAACATATAGGGTAATGTCCATAATTTGAAATCATTCAATATGTATAACACAAGATCCATATAATAAAAAAAAAAAGGTATATTTGGTAAATATAAGTAATAAAAAGGACCTCTTTTGTTTTTCTCCTTTTTAATTCTTACTTTTATCTCTTTTATCACTTCATATCTATTTATGATTTGTATATGTACAACCATATTTTTACATTTCTATGTTTCTTTATCTTATTTGCATATAGATACTCATTTGGAGCATTTAATTAATATATTTTTCATATATATTCAGGAATTTTTAAGGTATTTTTTAAAGAGTTCTTTTTATTACTTATATTTACCAAATATACCTTTTTTTTTATTTTATTATATGGATCTTGTGTTATACATATTGAATGATTTCAAATTATGGACATTACCCTTTATGTTTCTTTATAACTATTTTGCCCATACTTCTGCCCTTCTCCAATATGACTGAACATACACACTGGAAATCATGAACTGAGTGGCTTTATTCAGCGCTTGGTGCCTGATGGCTTTGGAGATGGGAACAAAGGACCTTTTGGACCTCATACTACACCAAGATAAGGGGACTGTTTGTGCTTCCAAGTTGGACTGAACTTTTGTGAAGAACCGAATAGACGCGATTACTGTGCGTTCCACGTTGGCACGCACGGACTTATTACATTCGTGGAAGCGCCGCGTCACTTCCGGCGCGACGCGTGCGTTCCACGGTGGATACTTACACTCTAGTGGACGCCGCATCGCTTCCGGTTTGTTGCCGCGCGAGCCCCACGACCGAAACACACCAGGAAGTTATCTTCATTTATGAAAGTTATATATTTAAAGGAATGATCTGAGGCTATTTATTTACACTTCTGATGAAGCCTGATTGGCGCAACGCGTAAAGTGTTATCTTATATAGCCTTTTTGTTTTATTATTGTCACTATTGTTACTATTAAACTTTTTTAAAGTGATATACTTTTTATTCAATATTTATTTTCATCATCACTTCCTGGTCCACATATCCTACAGTGGGGATTGTACCACTGCAAGCCCTATATACTAGAGCAAGTTGTCTGCTCTAGCAAATGTGAGTATAATTACTTTCACTTATTTCTTCTACATTTGAAGTCTAAGTTACCACACCATTGGAGTTTCTCTCTCTTCTTTTTCATCCCATTTATACCACCATATTATTGGAGTATTGAAGACCTGGGACTCCTAATCCTGAGACGGAGATTGTACCGTCCGTGCGAATTACGGTAGAGCTCCATATTAGCTCTACCAAATGTGAGTTTATAATATCTCCTCTTTTTATATCAACTTTAAAATTGTCAAATATACTACACTATTATTATTTTTCTCTTTGTGTTCTCTTTTTTTGAGGATAAATTATTTACATCAATCAAGAGATAAAAAGTGTATGTATATATAGTTAATTTAAGGCGCGGTTCCCTTTTCCATTTGTATACTTATTGTCTTTCTACAAGGCTGGGAATCCTTGCTTTGGTTACTGCTGCCTATTCACCTTTTTTGTAGAGAGCACCTAACACACTTTACACTTTTTTTCCAGTAACAAGGCAAAGGCTGTCCTAATTACAGAACTAATGCAAGGAGACAGAGCAGCAGCTGCTGCAGCACCTCCAATGGAGGAAGAACCAAACGAATTTGCAACCGAATTCAGAATACGAATGGCTTTATTCCCTGAACCACCATCTGCAGAGATGGTTAGCAGGCTCTTAGCTGATGTACAGGAGTACATCATGCTCAGGAGGG